ACTTTTAGTGTATTTAAATTATAACAAAGATATGATTGAAATATTTAAATTCGTATTTTTTGATACTCGTATTTTACACAATTTAATTTATATTTTTTTTTAAATAAATATATGTTTATGCTTAGCTGATGTGTATTGTATTTTATGAATGAATGAAATTTTATAATAGCAATTTTGTGTTGCTCTGTAAATTGCAAGCAATGCAAAATAAATATATTATTGTCAAAATAAAATATTTAATATTATTTATATATATATTTATATTTGGCTTTTTCACATGTGTACCGATAAACCATATATGGATAGAAAAGAAAACGTACTATTTTTAATGTCAAATGTTTAGTGTATATATGTATGATATCAATTATTTCGACCAATGTTAAAAAATATTTTTAATCACAGAATTGACTTTAAGTAGTATGCATGTATTATATAAAAGGCTGACCAAGGCAACTTTGATTAAAGCAAATAATTGATGTGAACATTTTCAAGCATACAAAGTGGATTTAAATATTACGATATTTCACTTCTTGCTTCTTCATAAACGTAATGTTCAAATAATTCTAATGTTTAATATAATATTAGAATACTGTAAATTTTTTTTTAAATAAATTCATACGTTATATAGCTTAATATATAAAGTAGTAAATCACATTAGAATGTACAAAAACATATAAAATATAGCAATAAGTTCACATTATCAATTCTGGCACTTGCATGTTGCTGATACAATTACTAAATTCAAATGATGAATTTAACTGCAGTTATAATATAATAAATTAAGAATATAACATTGCACTCATCTTTTAAGCTAAAAATAATAGCAATATACCTGCCTTTATTTAACGTAGATTTTTTTTATTGGGGTGTTCTCTTATGTTGACTCCAGGCATGAAAGCATTTAGTAAATCTTCGTGATTCTTTTCCTTTAGCGGTAAGAAATAATTTACGTGGATTGTTTGGTTGTTTAACGCGCAGATGTTGTATATACACCTAAACGATATAAGTTAATAAATAATTGTGTTTACTTAAAGTTAATTCATAATATATATTTTACCTGAGCTGATTTATATGCAAGCTTGATCTCTACTTCAGAACAACGTGTTCCTAACCAGAGGAACACTTGTTCACCATTATCTAATATCATTATATCATCGTCTGCTAAATCATCCTGAAGACAATATATATATTAATATAATTAAAATAATTTAAAGAATTAAAAAGTATATTAAATGAATATATATTATTATATGAACGTTTATATTACTTGGCAAAAATCAGTGCATTTTTCACTAATAGTAAAATATCCTTTTTCATTAGAGCACCTAAACAGTCTTGTATAATTCATAAAATCTGCATCAGTGTCGTATGGTTTTTTTCCACCAAGTGCAACCCAAAAAAAGTTATCCGGTTCTTCGCCCTCATTTAATACTTGCAAACTAATCCAAGGCTGTTGAAAATTCAAATATTTTTCATTGTGTTATATACTTCAAATATATAAATGATATTAATTAGAAAAAGTAATAATTTACATTGTTAAACATTTCTTCAGCAATTTCTTGAATTAAACGTGCTTCATCGCTGTCCGCATTAGAACCAATCCATGCATAAACTATACCAGTTTCGTCATCATTGTTAAATGGTACATTTAGAATGTAACTAAAAAATAATTATACATTAAATTAGAGAGAGAAAATTTCAAGATATCAAATCTGACAATTTGACTATTTAATTACTTACCAAAATGCTGGATTTAATAAACTGGAATCTGCGGGTATTTGTATTAATCTAGTGCATAATGCGCTACCATTACTTCGTAGATGATAGAATTCGACTTTACTTGTACCAGGAATTTTAGGCTGTTTACGTTTGCCTTGGTGAATTATAAATTTTCTTTTGAAATAAGCCATAAATTTTAAATTCTCTTGTTGCTGATGCGTCCTAACTACTTCTAATTTGTCACGAAACAATGACTTAAATTTCTTTTGTAAACTGAAAATATTTAATTTTGTTTTTTATTTTATATATATATATGTTCTTTCAATTTTCTAATTTTATTATAGAAAAATATAAATTTGTTAATACCTAAATGTAAATGTAAGCCAGCCCATATTACCGGCATCTCTACCTTGCCAAAAATATGCTGTAAATTGATAATCATCTTCGTATTGTTCATCGCCGTCTTCATTTTCCGCTACGTCTGATGGCTATAAGTCATAAAACATAAATATCATTTTAATTATAAATAGTATATACTTATTTAAACATATAAATTAAATAATTGTGATAAGAATTTCATTTACCATCCAGTAACGACACAAGAAAACATAACAGTCACCGCTATAAAAATGACCAAGTTCTTCTTCCGGTAAACGTACAAATTTTCTTCCTTCCAATACCAGTGCTTCCATTCCTTCTAAATCATCATTCCACTCTGTCATAAGTTGTTGCGCTTCAGAAGCTGACATTGCGGGTTGTCGTGGCATGAAAAGAGCAGCTAAATCTGCCTGTTTATTTCAAAATAATATTTGAAATACTTTTTTTAGTTATTTTATGAGATATTCATAAGAATAATGTTAATGAATTTACCTTCGTTTCTTGTTGTTTCGCCCATTTGGTAAGATCAGCACCAGTTTTAGCAACTGATTCTGCAGTTCTTGTAAAATCAACTGCTATCACTTCATCCCAGCCAGTAAACTTCGATTTAAAGACCTGATAATTATAAATTTTTTTATTGCTAATATACTGATAAAGTAATTAAAAATTTAAAAGCATTCTCATACCTGAGATTCTGTGCCTTCTTGTAATCTCGTTACCATAGCATATTCTGGTCTTTCAATCATATTAAATAGTTCTTGAGATAGTTTTACAGCAGCAGCTCTTACCAATCTAGTCGATTTTTTTCCAAACCTGTATGTGCATTCATTCATTTAAATTTATAGTTAACATATATATTAAATTATATATATATATATACTTACCAAACATACACATCAAGATAACAATCTAAGATATAAACATTGCGATTATTTAAAAGAGTGTTAGCCAATTTCCCATGAGGCACTTCAACTTGTGGTAATTCCAAATATCCCATACCAAGTTGAACTTGATATAAGCGTGGCGTTACTGGTATAAAATCTGGATCTACATGTTCCTGATACAATAACAGAAGTATTGTTATTTGTTTTTTAATTACTATAGACTACTATAATTCACGAAAAAAAAAGAAAAAAGAGGAAATAACTTACAACAATAGTTTTAGTTTCAGAAGTATTCTCTACGCCTAATTGCGACAAGAAATCATCCGATTCCAAATTCATAACTTCTGTTATTATTTCAGCTTTGTTTTTTCTTTCATTTTTATTGATTTTCTCAGCCATTAATCTAGCTTTCGATTTTAATGTACTTTTTGCTTTTTTACCATACCACATAAATATTTTATTTCCTGTGTCCAGCACGAAAACATAACAAGGGTCTAAAGATTCAAAACAAACTGGTACTGGTTCTAAATGAATAGAAGCTCCTGCTGCATGTACTCGATATAAACGTGTTACTGCAGGCTATAAAAATAAAATATGATATTTAACAATTTTATTCGAAAAATATCGCGTATAATATTTCAACTAATAAGAATATTTTACTTACAGTATCTTCCACTGTATAAAATCCAGAAGAAGTACGGCCACCTTCGATATAAGTTATTTCAGAATCAAAAAGTATAAGAAACTCATCCGATTCATCTCCCTGTTCTTCCCTTATAGTACGACACTGTGCTCCAAGATAATTGCGTAAATTTACAGCATGAATTGCAGCACAAGCTCTCTTGTCCAACTATTTGAAATAATTATTTTGAATAATGCACACACAAATTGAAACGTTATTAATCAGATATTATAAGTACATACTGTTGCCTTCTCTCCTATCCAGAAATATATTGCCCAATTCAATGATCCACTTTCATCAATACTCGTTTTTAATACGATGTAACAATCACCTTCATAAAATTTACCGTGCGCTACTTCCTCTATTTCGTTAGGTAAAAAATTTTCTATTTCCCATATCGATAAACCTGGTATTTGTCCTGCATCCTCATCAAAAAATTCTGAATAATCCAAAGGTGGTTTTTCAAGAGTTTCATCCCATCTTTTAGGCCTGACGATATATATATATATGTAATTTTAATAATATTTTTTATCAATATCTTAAGATTAATGTAATAAATTACTCACTTTAATGATTCAGCTTTAGTATCATCGCATTCCTTATCTTTGTTTTTTTCTTTTGCAATATCTTTCATACCCTATAAAGAAAATTATAGATATACATTGTACTTATGTGTACGTGTATTTTATTTATATTATATTATACCTTTAATATTTTAGCTTGATCTTGATCAGCTTCTTCTTGATCACGTTTTCTTCTTAATCTCATTTTACGAGCTATTGGGTCTTTACTACTGTCTATATCATTAAAACAATTAATTAAAATAATTTCAAATAATTTCAAAATAATATGTATATATATATATATATATATATATATATATATATATTATAAGTACTGCATATAAACATACTAGCTGTTTGTACCGGTACAGGTACATTGGCACCGGCAAGTCTTAATTGATGTTGCAAAGAAAAATCGATATTATAAAATTCAATTCCTGATCCTCTTTGTACCTCAGTTGGTTTTGGTGGCATTACTAAATTTGGATTATCTCTTAGATCCAATTGTTCCAAATCAGTAAGAAGATGTATTGCATCTGGTACAGTTATTAATCGATTTGATGTTAATATTAATTTTTTTAATGAGCCACATCTATAAGAATAATATAATATTATTCTATTTCTTTAAAATATATAACATGTGATTAGAGAGGGAATTATTTATAATGATTTTTTTTTCTTTTAATTTACCTGCACAATCCTTCAGGTATCATTTCCAAATGATTATTAGCAGCTGAAAATACTTGAAGAGACGATAATTTACCAATTCCAGAAGGAATCCCTTCGAAATCTATTTCATTATCATTTAAATATAATCTTCTTAAAGTAGAAATTTTGCAAATGGATGCAGGTATGGCAGTTAGCTTATTTCTACATACATTTAATATTTCTAATTTCGTCCATAATTCTGGAAATAATAAAAAACAAACAAACAAACAAAAATATAATTATCTCTTTTTATAACTATATAAAATATATAAATAATTGTAATATACATCGTGTATCGTATATTCAATTAAAATAAATAATTAATGTAAAATTCCACATATATGTTTATTAAACATATTTACCAATAGCTGTAGATAATTCTGATATTTGATTATCATTTAAATTTAATCTACGTAAATTTGAAAGTGAATACAAAGCATCAGGCACTCGTGGTAAACTGTTTAGTGATAAATCTAATTCTTGTAAATTCGTGAGAGTCTCAAGACTTGATGGAATATTATTTAATGTGCGTTGAGTATCACGCATTTGCAATGTAGTTAAATTCATTAACGATGGAAGTTGCCTAATTAAAATAAAGAAATAATATTATATACAAAAAAAATTATATTAAAAAATAAATTGTGTGTGATATATTGAAATGAAACATTTTACATACCTCAATTGAAAATGTCCCAAAGGATTATGATTTAAATTTAATGTCTGTAAATTTGCCAAACGTCTTGTTTGCGGTGGTAATGTTTCCAATTGATTATTACTTAGATCCAAAAATAATAGGTCTGTTAAGTGAATAAAAAGCGTATTCGGAATTGTTTCAATACTACAAATAGAAAATTGTACATTAAGCACAGTTGAATGATATATATATATATAAAAATTTAATATATTAATGTAAAATACATTAAATAATATTCAAACCGTACTGATTATAACTCAAATTTAGATTGAGTAAAGAACGTGCTCTTTCTAGACCTTCAGGTACTTCTTTTAAATTATTATGGCTTAGGTCTAACGTTGTCAATTCCTCTAGGTGAAATAATTCTGCTGGTATACCGCTAGACTTGACATTATTGTGTCGAATGTTTAATGTTCTAAGACATCCCAGTTCTGTTAATTCCCCATATAAACGTTCCAATTTATTTTTAACAAGTGAGAGATGTTCCTAATAGAAAATAAAATAATACAAAATAATCAATTCAAATATAAATTCCATACTCTGAATGTGTGAAAGAAACAGAGAGAGAGAAAGAGAGACCCAATCATTGTTGTCTTATCATATATCTTATATTTTTTATCCGACTTCCTCATTCTTTCATATTTTCATCCCTCACATCATTCACCCTTCATTCATTTCACAACTATCAATCATTCATCCCATACTTCCGTTTCCTTAATTTCAATCAACCATATTTCCCTCTTTTCCTTCCTCTCTTCTCTCTTCTTTCCTCTAATGCTCTCATCAACATATGCTACTATATTTGTTGATAATTAAATGCAATCTTCTTCTAATTAATATTTCAAACATATTTAAAGAATTATATTTGTTTACTAGAATATAGAAAATAATAGTGGATTCAAAGACAACCTGCTCTTATTTTAATTATCTAAATTTATATATATATCCTTATATATAAAAAGTATTTACCAGTTTTAGTAATTTACCCATTTCTTCAGGAATTTCTGTTAAGTTTGTTTTATCTAATTTCAACCATTGTATTCCAGTCATCAGACGTACTGATTCAGGAAATTTACCATCCTAAAAAAAGAAATAATTATTTTAATATGATGTAGAGATTAAATTTATATACTCTTTTCATATATATTACATTTATATTTATAA